GTGATGAATTCTCTAATATATGTTCTTAAACACCTTCAGCGTTGTGGTGAATTCTCTGACATTTGTCCTTGGGCACTTTTGGCACTGTGATAAATTCTCTGGTGTTTGTTCTTGAACACCTTCGACATCGTGTGATAAATTCTCTGACGTTTGTTCTGGTGTTCTTGAACACCTTCGGCATTGTGTAGTGAATTCTCTCTGGCATTTGTCTTTGGGCACTGTGATGAATTCTCTGGTGTTCTTAAATACCTTCAGCATTGTGTAGTGAATTCTTTGGTGTTTGTCCTCGGGCACTGTGATGAATTCTCTGGTATTTTTGAATACCTTCAGCGTTGTGTGATAAATTTTTCAGAGTTTGCTCTTAGGCACTGTGATGAATTCTCTGGTGTTTTTGAATATCTTCGGAGTTGTGTAGTGAATTCTTTGGCATTTGTCCTTGGCACTGTGATGAATTTTCTGGTATTCTTGAATACCTTCAGCATTGTGTAGTGAATTCTCCAGCATTTGTTCTTGGCACTATGATGAATTCTCTGGTGTTCTTGAATACCTTTGGCATTGTGTGATGAATTCTCTGACGTTTGTCCTTGGGCACTGTGATGAATTCTCTGATGTTTGTTCTTGACACCTTCGGCGTTGTGTAGTGAATTCTCTAGCATTTGTCCTTTGGCACTTTCAGTGCTATGATGAATTCTCTGATGTTTGTTCTCGGCATTGTGTGGTGAATTCTCCGGCATTTGTCCTTGGGCACTTTTGGCACTATGATGAATTCTCTGATGTTTGTTCTTGAACACCTTCGGCATTATGTGGTGAATTCTCCGATGTTTGTTTTTAGGCACTTTTGGTACTTTGATGAATTCTCTGGTGTTTGTTCTTGAACACCTTTGGTGTTGTGTGGTGAATTCTCTAGCATTTGTCCTTGGGTACTTTTGGCACTGTGATGAATTCTCTGGTGTTTGTTCTTGAACACCTTCGGTGTTATGTAGTGAATTCTCTGGTGTTTGTTCTTTAGCACTTTCGGTACTTTGATAAATTCTCTGGTGTTTGTTCTTGAATTCTCTAGTGTGTCCTTGGCAATTTTTGATATTTTTTTTTGTATTTGTTTTTGCAATGTTTTTTGGTAGTATTTTTAATAACCAATAAAAAATATTACTTTTTAATAAAAAAAATTTAAAAAACTTAAACTTTTTTATGTATTATTGAATTTGATTGGCTGATTTTTCATGTTCGAAAAGTTAGGTTAGATTTTGAGTTGCATGAACTTTTCTGATTCGCTGACGATTCAAAAATAGATCACGTGACCTTTATTCGTTTTAATTGGCTAATAAGCCAGAGATATATAAGTTATATATCTCTGGCCAGAGATGCCTAGAAAAATCTATAAAAAAATAAAAAAATAAAAAAAATAAAAAAAATAAAAAAATAAATAAAAATTAAATAATTTACTGTAATAATATAATAAAAATACTTATTAAAGAACATACTTGTTCAAAACAAAGCATTTATAAAAGTTGTAATCTTATATTCTAGAAATCTATTATCCATATTTCAAAAATCTCTAATGCTAGATAATTTAAAAATACCACTATATATTAATATTGCTAGCCAAATTTTAAATTTTTTTACTTTTAATTTAGTTTATTTATATCTCTCTCTAGCATCCTTTAAACAAGTATATTTATTGGTATTTTAAACTATTATATTTATTTGTTCAAGTAAAAAAAAATACTAAAAATTAAATAAGATAATAATAAAGAATATTTATATTATGGGTGTAGTAACTTAGTAAAATAGTGGAGTTGTCACACTCCCAAGCTAGCTTGACTATAATACTGAGTTCAAATCTTATTGGAGACGTTTCGAACAAAAATGCTTATATTATGGTAACAGATCTCTCAAATTGGGTTGGGTTTATAACCTGTTACTAGGGTTACACCAATACCTCTAGGCGCTAAAAGTTTCTAGAAGCATTCGTATCATTGCACAAAGGAATGCTAACCAGTATAAGCAGTGATAAGCCTTCTAAGGAATGAAAAATATTAAAGATACCTATATACAAAACCTAGAGATTCAGAACTAGCTTGGGGAACCCAGCTCTTGAAGAAGTTCTAAGGATTAGCAGCTTTTGATAGTACTATAGGAGCAGTCTAGAAATAAAAAATTCAAGTAACAAAGATATTTGGGCAAAAAGATCTACCAACCAGGCCGCTAAGGTTATTAGAGCCGCACTAGATATATATTCATTAGTTACTTTGGTATGGGATATCTAGTAGAAGATCCTAAAATGAGACTTCAGAGGAAAAGGATGCATTATAAAGGCTTGTACCAAGGATCGGGAAACCTTCAGACCTGAGATTGAGACTTTCAGGTTTGGGCAAACTAATCCTCCAGGCCATCTGGATTGGAAGACTGAAAACCAAAGTATAGAGTACAAATGTGGGTACTGGGGTCGTGAATCTTAGAAGTAAATAATAGGAGAATTAATTAGGAAAGTTGTGCTTGAGATACAGATTGAATTATGGTAGCACCCAAAAGGCAGTATAAGATACAAACATAATAGTAGCAGACAATATATACTAATTAGAATGAATATTACTAAATGTACACATACTGTGTATAGGACATGATATGCAGTATTAGGTTTACCTCATGAATCAGCTAAAAGAAGCTCTAAGATAAAGTGCTGAAAGCTAAAGGTATTGCATAGATCCATAGTCTATATATAGTGAGGTTATACCTGGATTAGGTAGGAAGGGCTTGTAGTTATAACCAAAAAGTTTAAATAGGTAACTCCATAGTTGGGTTGTAGGTATGGCAATTAGTATAGAACCTTTGGGTGGACTACTTAAATTAGGTACCAAAAGTACACATGTGGCTAGTTGTACTTTTATTATTATTGTAATAAGTTCTTAATATCTAATAAAAAGGTCTCCAGGCTAAAAAGGTCACTTTAACAAAGAAAAAAAAAAAAAAAAAATTTATATCTTGTAGATAAATATAATATAAATTTATGTATTGGTCTTAAATATTGAAATATATTAAAAAAAAAAAGAGAAAGAAGCTATATAGCTTTATGATTTTGATTACAACTATAGTCATAGCTATGACTATAGCCATGACTATAACTATAATTATAACCTCTAATATTTTTATTTTTTAAATATCTTGAATATCATAATTATTATTATCATTTGATTTACTTTCTTTACTATTTTCATAAATATTATATAATAATTTTGCTATATACATTATTATTATCTTGTTTATAAAGAATTAAAATTTCTATTGTAAAATATCATATAGTACAAAAAATCTAAGAACCTCAATCACTTTATATAAGTGCTGCCAAGAAAAAACCTGAATGCTTACTTATAAATTTTATAAATAAGTATTTAGGTTTTTTCTTGGTGTTATTTATATAGAACAATAGTCAACTACATAATGCATAAGATAAATAGTAGCTTATTTCAAGTTTTAGCAATATGTACGAAATAGTTGCTATTACTCTTGGTATATTATTTAATCCTTATTGCAATTTATAATTTAAAAAATTTATTTTTTAGGCACTACTAGTTTATATATTATCTTTATTTTAAAAGATTAAAGTTTTTAAATTTCTGCACTAATACATGAGAAAAAATTTAAGAATTCTGTAAATAGTTAGCATCATATTTTTTAAAAATATATAAAGTAAATTAATTGATCAAATATAATAATAGAGTGTTAATCAATATGTATATAAAATCAAAAAATGATTGGTCAATTTTATAAAAAAATATAAAATAATTTTTATCCAAATTTGAAAATTGCAAGCAAATTTGTATGCAAAACTATTTAAGAGATAATAAAAAATATATAAAATTACTATGAACTTTGCAGCTTTGATATTTTTTAATTTATATAATAACTTAAAATTAAATTCTGCAATTATATAGAGCATAAAAAAAAGAATTTTTTTGCTCTAACTAGCAAGTTATAGGTTTGTCATCTTTGTATATTTTAAAAATATAACTTCACCAAAAATAAAAATTTTACTAATTTTAAGGTAATAAATATATGTAAAAGTATACTTTAAACAACTTTACTTAGAAGATAAAAGTAGGTTATCTTGATAGAAAAACAAGTTAGCTATGTGCTAAAATTAAAAATTTTAGTTTTTCTATATACAATTTTTTTTCACTTATATAACCTGCCTATATCTTTTAAGTAAAGTTGTTTAGTATAAAATTTTATATTTTTAAAGTGTTTTATTCATTTTTGTAAATTTTTTACTAAGTATAAAATGGGGTTAAAATTAGAAAAAAATTTTTTTTAAAAAATTTTTTTCTAACTTTAACCCTATTTTGCAACTTAGTAAAAGGTTTACAAAAATAAACAAAAACACTTTAAAAATGTAAAATTTTATGCTAAACAACTTTACTTAAAAGATGAAGACAGATTACATAAGTGAAAAAAAAGTTGCATATAGAAAAACTAGAATTTTTAATTTTAGCATATAGCTAACTTGTTTTTCTATCAAGGTAACCTATTTTTATCTTCTAAGTAAAGTTGTTCAGAGTATGCATTTATATATGAGCTAGGTGCTGAGAAAAGGGACCAAATTGACTATTTTTTCAAAAGATATTTTTTTACATAAATCAATTTAGAATAAG